GAGGGAGGAGTGTCTGCTGAAATATACCCTCTTTCACAAACTGAGAAACCTGGTTTTTAATATCAACGTGAAGATTTGTTAACATGGGATTCGAGGAAAATTTGGACACTTACTTAGGTCTTTTCATTTTTTGTAGTAAAACAATATTTGTTATGTTTCAACACTAGTGCTCCCTCTTGATTTTTAAATTACATCTGTTTTGTGCTGCACAATCACATTCATCCAATGAATGTGCAGAAAACAAATGAGTCAACTGACAATTATTCTTAGAACTGTACAGTATGTTTCGCTCCTTAAAAACAAAAGTGCCCTTATTTTCCTGTTCTGTTTGGTATGAATTGAGGTTTTATTTGGCTGCTGTGAAAGCTGTTTCACGCAAAATGACCTGAATATGAAACAAGAGACGCTTTAAAAAAGAACAGTTAATCCTCGTTTTTTTATCCCTGTCTTGATCATGTAACATGCATATGTATGGTACAGTCAGCTGCAGAATATAATTATGGGCAGCAAAGAATGGACCTCACAGTTCAAGTTCTACAATCCGTGGGTGTAAAAGCAATTCCTTTACAATACATTGTACACACATAAGCTGTGTCTAGAGCATATGGCCACGAATTCCAGCAATGTCCTTTATTCTTATTGAGATTTATCTAATTATGTGTCGACTTGAAGAGTCACAAATAGTCACAGTAGCTGTAATTTGGCTTACCAGAGAGGCAGACTATAAATACAGATAACGTCAGTAAAAATATCTATTCCACAAAAGCATGCAAAACGTACGTCCTCATTGCATTAAATTTCTCAGGAAACAGAGATGATAATAAAACAATCCAATTGGAGATGACGCTCCCCAAAAAAATGTGAATCCTTTAATTTGTAACCAGAGACAGAAAGATCACAAAAAGCAAAGCAGATCAAGGCAAGTTTATCTCTACTGCAAGGCTTATTTTTTCAGGCAAGCAAAACACAGGGAGAGAGCTACCAGGGCAAGTCATGAGGGTGTCAGCTTATACAATAGCACATTATGGAAAACCATTTGGGGAGGCTAATGTTGTTGAGGAGCATGTGTGTCTTATTCAAAATACAGTATTCCGAAGAACTGTATTTCCGAAGAACTTGAAGTGGCAGGTCGTACCAACCATATTGCCTTTTGATTTTTATTCCATTTCTTGTGACAAGATCGCTGACACAAACGATACCAAACATCTTATCTTCTGTGTCGCCAGGTGCTGCTGCTGATGGGTTTATTTTGAAGGAAGCACTTGTGGACCGATGAGAAGCTGTGATGTCTCAGAAGCCGTGTCACATGATTAGGTCTTGCGCTCTGAAATACAGGCAGTTCTTTGAGACTGAAGCACAATATGGGGGCATTATTTACCACTGAAATGTGCTGCGATTCAGTATTGAAACTTTGCAGTTGAGTTTATTTAATTTCTGAGAGAGAACCAAAACCCACTCAATGAGCTCAGTGACCCTGTTTGCTTGGTTGATCTTGCCTTTCTAGCTGACTTCATCACACAGCAGAATCTTCTCAATACACATTTACAAGGGAAACATGCGATCGTGCCACAACTGCACTCAATGATGAAAGCATTTGTTGTGAAACTTTGTCTTTCTGAGAGAAGAAATCAGAGAACTCAATACTGTACACTTCCTGTGCCTCAAAGAAACGATCCATATTTTTCTAACTGAAAGTACTGCTCGATCCATAGACAAATAGTGTATGTGCCCCTGATTTGATAGCAGAGCTCAATATGCAATTCCAGGATATTGATGTGATATAGAAGAATATGGCAATATTTTCATGCTCTTTCATAGTGTAGACTGAGGAAACCTACAGTTGCAGTTAAGCGAAATATAATGATATAATAAAATACTACACCGCCAACACAACCCGTTTCCAGTATTCTGCTGGGGTTTGGAAAAAGACAGATTTCTGCAGATAAGACACCAAGCAAAATTAATCCTAAATTTATATGGCTCAACAAATGTTTATATTATTTACAAGCAAACATTCTCTGAAATGAAAAAAAAACAACAGAAATCTTAATTTCTCCAGTGTTGAAGAGAAATGCGAATTACACACTAGGATCTTATGATTAAGTCATGTTGTCTTAAATTTCACAAATCTTTCTATGAAACACCAAGTTGCAATCAAAGATGTAATTACTGGACCAAAGCATGTTAATCACTACAAGTATAATCTATGCAGAGATAAAAATTTGTCAGCCAAGATACAGCCATTGATTGCAGAACAAAGGAGAAGAAAAGCAGAGCTACTGTAGGCTTCCTGCAAATATTTCACAGTGCAGGATGTAGAATTTAATTCCCCTGTCTGTTTCCTTTTTGTTGTATCTAGAAGTTCTAGGATGCAGTCAATCCTAATAGAAGAAATATGAAATTGCATAAATTAAAAAAAATCAAGTGAGAAAGCACACTCATTCTTACAATGGATAAATGACTATGAAGATAATTTAGTCATTTTCAACAAGACAGCAAGAGGATATATATTCAAGAAGAATATTAGTACTCTAGTACAGCTAACCCCTCTGGTGAAAAACGGGGTACATTAAGAGATGGGAGAAACCTCATACAATAGTCCCAAACAAATCATGCAATCAAATGTCTGAACCTTTTAATTTAAAATCAGCAAATAAAAATGTGGAGTTTGTATGTAGGAGCCAGCAGTAATACCTCTTTTATGGGAAAAGTAGCAAAGCTTTCATTGATGTACAGATTAAAATCAATAAATGATCATAAATAATAAACAGATTGGTCTACTGCCATTAAAGTTCAGTTGTTGAGCATGCTCTGGAAAAGGAAAATCGGTTTCTAATTTAGTCATTTTAGTGACAAGAGACTGTTGTAGCAGTAAGGCAATGAAGTCTTTGAGTACATCATGTAGAATGTGGGAGTTATAAACCGAGTGAGATAAAATCAATACAATTGTTCCCTTTAACTTTGGTTAAACTTTTGGCATTTCTAATAATGTGATTCTAAATTATCAAATGAGTGCAAATCTGCATAAATTACTTACCTTCCAGCAACAGGTGTAGGATCTCAGCATTGCGTAATGTGGACAAAAATACAGGCAATTCTGATTCTGATTTAGATCTTGCTGAAAGAAAAGGATGAATGTTCATGTTCCAGAGAGTATTTGTTAAGGGCGTGGTAGCTCATTTCCTGTCTTGACATAGTTTATTTCATTTACAGCTCTATTGTCACATGGAGGCTGTTGAGAGGTGTTAAAAATAAATTCACTGGTGTGAAAGGATGTGGGATTCTGGGAAAGAGACTGGGATCACAAGCAACACCAGTAAATGAATTTGGTCAGTTAAATTGGACTGATTGATATCAGACAGAAAACTGTCCAAGATTTGGGACTGACACGTTGCAACATTGCATGTAGGTACTAAAAGGGATATGAAATTTGATATATGGGCAATGATAAAATAACAACACAAATTATCCCTTGATCTATAACAATCCCACTTTGTTACTTAGTGTTAAAAGCTCTCTGATGGTTCTCATGGTCAGGCTATAGTTCCTAATCACAGTTTTGAGACAAGATTTTCTACATCTCTACATATTCTATGAATCCCTGCATATAAAAGAAGGAGCTTGATCTAAAATTATTAGTAAAATCTATTTTCATTTCCGAGTAGTTGTGTTGAAGAGAGAGGGCATTTCCACTAAAGGACGTTGTTTTCCTGAGGCATTGAGGCCCGCAGTAAGTAATTCAGCAGAAGAAATATATGATTCTGTCCGTGTTGAAGATGAAGTTTCACTGCTTCATTTGGATTTTATTATTATATAAATTCAGTTCCTCCAAGTTAACTTCTGGAAAACACTATTAGTGTTCAATCTGCTGATAATCACTCATTTCTTGCCTTCACACTAAATAGTGTAAATATTATAAAGGGACATTATTAACTTACCAGGTATGTGTGAAAGTGAAGATTTAAAAAAGTCCTGTAGGGCAGAGTTGTGAACTTTCTGAGGAGCACTGTAGAGCATTTGAATCACCAGTGAGGACCAACACAAATCCTGTCTGCTCTATCCTTCCCACTTTCTCGTCCACCCACCTGTAGAAATGTGTACATTCTCTGGAGCAGGAGCTAAAGAAAATAAAAAAAGACATTTCTTAGCTGTGGGTGTGAACTGAAGCAGATTCAGTGCTGGAATCCCCCAGAAGGATTGTGAAATTCAGATCCTAGTGACTTGAACAGCAGAGAGTGGGTTTGATTAGTAGAGTAGGTAGGTGTTTCACTTTCAGTTGGAGCCAGAGCCAGTCTCAGACACCTTGCAGTGCATTTCAGCATTAAGGAGAAATATTCTGGCCAAGATCTTCCCTCAGAGCTAACTCCTCAG